CATAAGTGCAGGTTTGGATTCAACAATCAGTCCTGGAGTCTGTTCTGTTCCTCCACTCTCACTTTCTGGCACAACAGCATTCAGACTGAGCTCTCAGCTCCATCACCCTCCAGAATAGGAGTGTATGTGGATCACAGTGCAGGAACTCTGTCCTTCTACAGCGTCTCTGACACAATGACCCTCCTACACACAGTCCACACCACATTCACTCAGCCGCTCTACGCTGGGTTTGAGGTCGGTCTGAGATCATCAGTTAAACTGTGTGACTCAGTAATGAAATACAGATAAAGAATGAAGGTCGTTTTATGTTGTTCAATGAAAATGAAATATCTAGATTTGGTACTATGATATTTTTGAGATTTAGATTCTTAATATTTGCTGCAGTTATATTATAAATTTAATCAAGTCTTCGATTGAACATCTATTTCACACTTTTAGTCTGCATTACTGTTAAAATCTCACCAATCAGCTTTCAGTCCTGTCTTAAGCCCTGTTGGAGCTGGAATAGTTTGATCTGGGGAGGCTCTGTAATCTGAGTGATCACCGCCGAGATCTGTGATTCTAATCCAGTATGAATCTGCAGTGTCTGTAGATTCATTCAGATGAACAGTTTAGTGAAACTGTGGATTTTTCAGGAGCTACAGATCAAGTGTTGAGAGTGTATCATAAATAAGTTCATCGCCCCATTAATCACCTTTATGAATCCATTTATTCCCTCCTCAGTCTGGAATCAAGAAGGGGGTCCTGTCATCTTCCACTGTTCTGTGATGATCTGAATGTTGCTGTTTGAATCCTGAAAATACAGTAAAGACGTCTGATTAGACTGTACATACATTGTTGATCTAAATAAAGTGAAGCTGAATCAGATGATAAACTTTGCACACTTTCTAAAAAAAAACACGTCTAAAGAGCTCTGAGATGCATTACAGACACAAATGGTACAGCTTTCATTACGTCTAACGCCTGATGATTTTACTGGACAGAGCACTGTTTATTCTTACTGTGTGTAAATGTGGGTCTGATTTAAGCCGAGTGGTTTGTAGGAGTTCATCACTCATCCACACCTCCACCTTCAAAACAGACTCATTTCTGGACTCTCTGTGAATCTGAGCTGGACGTGGTTCCATCAGAATGAGATTTCTGGAATAAAGCTTTACTTTGTGTTTTAAAGCTCTTGTTGAATAAATCTAAATAGAAAATGAGGTTTGTGTTGTTTTTATCCACAGAAGCAAATGGACTCAGTACAGGTCAGGTAGAGAATGTGAGTCCAGCAGGGAGATGGATGGTGGTGTCTGTAAAGGAGAGCGCTGGAGTTTATCTGCTGCTCTGTGAAGTGATTGTTGTTCTGAAGGTAAATCTGGAAGAGATTTGATCTGAGTAAAGGCAGAGGCTGATAAAGTGGTAAAGGTTGGTTAGATGAGAGTTCAGTTTGGATTAAGACCAACATCATTTACCCCAGGAACAAATACGGTTTATAACACTGAAGGACAACATCAAAAACTGGACTTACTTGACCCAAACTTTATTACTAATCTGTGTATTTACCTACATCACTGACCAGAGTCCCTCACTGTTACCCAACATAAAACCTGGTGGTGTGATACATATGAGAACTCCATCCAGAAGATCAGATTATCGAAAAAGAGTCACTGGGTTCAAAAGATAAACAGACTCTCCAAAAAGACGTCATGATGCACAATATATTTGATCTCCTGTGTGTTTTGTAGTTCAGGCAAAATGCTCTGACAGAGAAAGTAAAAAAAAGGACAAACAATAAGAAAACCTATTACATATTTATATTTGTGGGCCAAACTGGCAGAAACTAGACTGCAAGTTCTCATTCATAGCAATAAGGGAGAGCTGGCGCCCTCTGGTGGCTGCTACTAAAACATCAGTCACTCTGATAGCAGTTTTGGTCACATTAGATTAATCCAAGTAAAAACATACTGTCAGTAATAGCAGTATGTAACCAGATCAATCATTTGTATTATTTTAAGTTTATTTTCTCGTGTCTATGATCACAGCAGATGAAGTCTTGGAGATGCTAGGAGACAAACTCAGTAATACAGCTGAGAAATACTGATACCAAAGCTCCAAAGCCTGTGTCAAAACAATTCAGTACGGAGTTGAGCTACAGGGCCACAAACCGTACACCTACCGCCACTTTAACACCAGTTTAACAAGCCCTCGTTCACTCTGCCTCACTACTCATACAGTGTTCTGAGGCACTAAGGCAGCCAGTCACGTCTGAATTCAATGTTTATGTAAAACGCTGCCTGATGTTCCTTAGGTCGCTTTTTTTGAAGGTAGCATAGACGTATCCTAGCCTTCTTAAAAGACTGGAAAAAGATGCTAATGCTAACAGCTAGCAGTGAGGTACCGCTGCCTTCGGTGCGTCTCAAACACAATTCAGTTGCAGGTACGTTCATCACAACGCTGCCTTCTGAGACACTGACTTATGAGACAACAAGGCATCGAGACAGCAGCCTTAAGTTTTGGACACAGCCTCAGACACCACATGCTGACGGGCCTTTGCTGTGCATGTGTGTTCCAAATCGGGTTTCTGGTTCAAATCGGGTCATGACAGTGCTGAAGAGCAGGTAGTAACGGTTGCTAAGCAGTGATTGGAGGGAAATGGGAAGGTCTTGAGATGGTCTGATCAACTCAATGCCTGATGTTGGCGGTCTAGTCGCGCTCCTGACCTGTAGTACTAAGTCTGAGCAGCGTATTGTAGCTCATTACTGTGAACAGCTTCTGTGTTACTCCTACAAACTGGAGTCAATTTAATCAATTACTTTTAAGTCCACATTCATTCTTTCAAAATTCTGTTCCTGACTCGTCCTCGTATCTCAATCTGCTCTTATTTTATCTCTCTCTCTCACTCCACCCTCTCTGTGCAGCACTTTAACACGCACAGAAGCAGGAAGTCCCTCCAACTCAGTTCAGAGAAAGTGAAACTGATCTCAGAGTGCTGCTCTCTCTCTCTCTTCCTCTCTCTCTCTCTCTCAGTCTGTGAGTTCAGGAAGATGGCAGAGGCCAGTATTTCAGTAGATCAGGACCAGTTCAGCTGTCCAGTCTGTCTGGACCTGCTGAAGGACCCAGTGACTATTCACTGTGGACACAGTTTCTGTATGGTGTGTATTAATGACTGCTGGGATGAGGAGGATCAGAGGGGGGTCTACAGCTGCCCCCAGTGCAGAGAGACCTTCACTCCGAGGCCTGTTCTACGCAGAAACAACATGATGGCTGAAATGTTGGAGAAACTGAAAAAGCCAGAACTCCAAGCTGCTCCTCCTGCTCACTGTTACGCTGGACCTGGAGATGTGGAGTGTGATTTCTGCACTGGGAGAAAATGCAAAGCCATCAAGTCCTGTCTGACGTGTCTAGTTTCCTTTTGTGAAGCTCATCTTAAACCTCACGATGAAGTTCCTGGTTTGAAAAAGCACCAGCTGGTCAAAGCCTCCACACGACTACAGGAGAAGATCTGCTCTCAACATGACAAACTGATGGAGAGCTACTGCCGTACTGACCAAAGCTGCATCTGTTATTTGTGTACGATGCATGACCACAAAGGCCACGATACAGTTGCAGCTGCAGCAGAGAGAACCGAGAAACAGGTGGGAGAAAAAAAATCATTTTGAATCGATTCACACTTTTATATCATTATATTATTGAACATAATAATATATTATATTATTATATTATTAAACCTTATTAGTTGCATTAGTCAGATAAAATCTTTGAACTGTTGGTTCAGTTCATCAAATTATTGATCAGGAAATGTGTTGTTACTTAGCATAACTAATAAAAAGACAAATAAATCAATTGTTGGAAAACGTCTCGCCAAGGCCCATCTTCCTTCTTCCTGCAGTGTTATAGCTCTGTAGTGCCCACATGTCTCTGTAGTGCCCACATGTCTCTGTATTGCCCACATGACTCTTTAAGAGTAACTTCACCCTAAGACTTTTGAACAGCTGAAATGCACTGCTCTGTAATAATAAAATATACCAGCCTTGCTTAGTGTGATCTTTCCAAACTGTAAAAATATTTTATCGTGGTCGGTTCCCCCTCTGCAGCGCCCCCACTGGTTCAACTCTGCTATAGGCTCAGATGATGTGTCTTGGTACCAAAGACACGTTGCAGTATGCACATCAGTCGACCAACGTCACCGGCCCCTGATGACACCCTACTCATGCTGCACAGGAGCCGAGAGTGAGGAGATAACCACACTCACGCGCTGAGCTGAATACCCCCAGCACCACCTCACAAGGCTGCAATATGCCAGCTGTCTGTAACAGCTGTAAATAACCCAGTTTATCTAAGCTTAGTTTGTAATAAAGATGTTGGACTGATTAAGTGAGGATTCTTGTCTCCATAAAGCTGCCAGTGTTGCATCTGTTTCATGTTTCCCTCCACAACTCGGACCCTCGGGCACAACTCACTAAACAGAAATCAACGGCAAGCAACACTGGAACTATGGAAGGCAAAACACTTCAGGAAAGGTTAACATTAAATGGCCATTGTTTCCGTAGTTCCAGTGTTGCTTGCCGTTGATTTCTGTTCAGTGAGTGCGGCACCCAAAGGTTTGATATATGAAGGGGAACGTGAATTTGAGAGGGAACTGAATCGGATGTAGCACCAGTAAGTGCCGTAAACACCTTGCAGAACGTAAGGATTTAGGGCCACTGCAGCAAACCCTGGCTGACCAGTGACTTAGACAGAGTTCAAAGAAATCCACTTTATTAATTCGGAATTCAGTACATCTAAGAAATCAGGACTCGGGTTATATTGAATACGGACCTGCTGAACAGATAATTAGAAGCTGGCTGTCGCGGTTTTAGGGAATGTTCTACCGTTCGGCGCCTCTGCCTCTAATCATTTTCTGGCACTAGGTTAGCTCTTCGGCGGCTTGAATCATATTCATATGCTCATACTGTTAAGGCTCAAGACGCACTGCCTGATCAGAATCACCTTCCCTCGTCAAAGATGGGGATGGTAGTGGAGAAAAACTGTCAGCCTCGTAAGACTCTCAGTTCTAAAAGTGCCATTTGATTCTATCACTTTCCATATTTTCTGGTAGCTAACGTTCGCTAGCTCTAAAAACACAGCAGCCCAGCCCACCCGGTCTCCCTCGCAGCCCCGCCTCCAAACCCATAGATCACTGCAGTGCCCCTCCCAGCGTGCCCCTCCCATTTTGGGGCATTTTTCAAAGTTGAGCCAGGGGTGGAGTTTGCTGAAAATAGTGGTGTGTAGTTACTCTTGAAGTCTTTAACTGTCAGTAATGTGTAAGTTTAAAGGTGCAGTATAAGATTCGGGAGAATGACTCTTCATATTTATCCTCAATAGCAAAACAAATACACCCCTCCCTTCCTTTCACAAGGCAGGGCTAACATGTACGCATGACTCAACTAGCTATGAAAACATTATTAATATTTAAAGTGTCATATGTAGAACCTTTAAACTCACGAAAAAGGAAACATTGTTGATTTCTCCTCAGAGAGAGCTGAAGGAGGTTCAGAGAAAATCTCAGCAGAGACTCCAGCAGAAAGAGAAGAAGCTGCAGGAGCTGAAACAGGCTGTGGTCACTCTTAAGGTGAGTAGTGGGCAGAGATCTGCTGGAGCAGCTGTTTCACAGCTCACTCAGACTCTCCTCCAGTCAGACAGTGAGGAGTCCAGCATTGGACACTTTGGGATCCTACACAGCCACAATGTGGACAGTCAGTCATCTAGAGTCCCAGTGAGAGAGTGAATGATAGCTGGTGTTTAAATGGAGCTCCATCTTGTGTGTCTGTGTCCTAACAGCGCTCTGCACAGGCAGCAGTGGAGGACAGTGAGAGGATCTTTACTGAGCTGATCCGCTCCATTGAGAAAAAGCGCTCTGAGGTAACAGAGCTGATCAGAACTCAGGAGAAGAACCAGCTGAGACAAACTGA